GAAAAATGCTCCGTGAGAAAAGGTGGAAAGCATTCTAATTAACCAGCCCCTTAACCAAGAGCGAGAACGAGGAGTAGAGAAGGTCTGAATGCTAAACCATCTGTGCTCCCAGAAATCGAAAGCAACTGCATCCCCCCTCCCCCTTTTCCCTTCTGTTCCTCCAGATCTACTAATTTCACCATAAACTAAAGATAATATCCCATCAACAACCATGCTCTTGATGACCCTTTCCTTCCTCCCCAGCCCTGATAAGTGCTTCAAGTCCTCTTGCCACAAAACCCTATTTTTTTTTAAATTCTCACTCGAGGATATTTTTCCATTGATTTTTAGAGACAGTGGAAGGGAGAGGGAGGGATACACAGAGAGAAACATCAATGTGAGAGAGACACATCGATTAGTTGCCTCCAGCACGCGCCCTGACCAGAATAAAGTCTGTAACTGAGGTATGTGCCCTTGACTGGAATCAAATCTGGGACCTTTCAGTCCATGGGCCGATGCTCTATTCACTGAGCCAAACAGGCCAGGGCACAAAACCCTATTTTTAACCAAAAGTTTTGAAAAGTATCAAAGGTTTTTTTCCCCCACTTGCCACTCTTAATCACCTACCTGAATTTCCTGTCTGAACTCCTTCCTGCCCTAGGTGTGGGCACACCTCTCCGTCCCACTAAGATGCAACACCAGGAAATAAACACAAAAAGAAGCTGAAGTTTAATACAAAACCTTTATTTTAATAACCCTCCCAAAAAGCTTGAAGCTAATGTTCCACCTCAGTGGAAACCATCATCCCCCTCTCAAACCAGTATTGGGTTTAAATCTAGAAAATGCCCCAAATAGACAAAAATGTTTCCCATTTCTCCTTTCTGACATAGATAACAAAGCCAAAGGTTCCAATTCATTCACAGAAAAATACCAGTTACTGTTGGGGACTTAAAATAAACCTCAGCTAATGTGGCCTACGCAGCCATCACAAAGACTGAGTTACGCTAAAGCAGGTTGACAATTGTAGGGCCAGCATACCTTCAAGACCCTCCCTTAGCAGAAAGGACAGGGGCTCATGACACAGTCAGAAATGGTAGAGAGAAGGAAAGTGAAAGATGAGGGTTAGAATAGGAAAGAAGAGTGGCAAATGGCAGGGCAGGGGAAAAGAGAGACTTTATCATTGGGAAAGCATACAGCGGACAGAGGATTTTAAGAAATAGTCTTGCCGTGACATTTGGGGCTATTATGATGGAAAGAAATGCAAAGACAGCTAAGAAAAGAATGGGGAGGGGGTGGACATGGAGCCAGATAGGTGAGTAGATAAGACAATGAAAGTATCTTGGGAATGTAAACAGGACTGATAAAGAAACAGGACCTCTACTCAAGGACCTCAATAAAAGAAAGAGCAGGACCAACATATGCACAGATAAAACGAAGGGGGAAAGCAGCTGCTAGGAAAGTGTTGAATTCTACTGTCTTGAAGAGGCCAGTGAAAAAGGCACCTCTAGCTACAAATGGACTCCAATGAGGACGTTCACGGCCTCTGGACAGAGAATTAGAATCTGGGGACATTCTAATGTTCGGGTAGTGGGGTCAAATCAGGCTACTGTGTGTGTGTGTGTGTGTGTGTGTGTGTGTGTGTGTGTGTAGGGGGGGACTTACATTCAGAGGAGAAAGACAACTTCACTTAAGCCAACACAAAAGACATGTACAAAAGTCCCTCTGGTTCACAAAGTTGAGGGTAAATAAAAACGAGCACCTGGCATCACATACCTCAACAAGGCACAATTCCTGATCATTTTAGCTGGTGGGATGATTATCTGTCAGACTGATTTCCCCTGCACCTTAACCTGAGGCCGTCACAAAGGAAAAGGAAGGGCCGAAGTCACCTGTGACCTGCAGAGTGATGTTTCTTTTCGGTACAGACGAGGGTGCGGGTACCCAGGCTGCATCTCCAGACCCAGAGGGCTTGTCTGGGATGCAGAGTGAGTCTCCCCAGACGCAGGGAACCTGAAATCACTACCCCACAGCCTGGGTAAAGGCACCTTAGGGAGACCGCAGAATGCCGGTTAATATGCACCTTCCCCCACCCCCCGACTCCAGCCATGACTTAGGCAGCTCCAGGGGAGGCCAGGGACGGAGCTACCGTGGCTTTCGCTTCCTACGTGGCTCACACCCAGAGGAGAGGCCGGTCGCTGACCTACCTGCCTTGCATTTCCCGGGCCTGGAGCGGTTCGTGGCCAGCGCCCGCCCGCTCCCGCCCTCACCCACGGGCGCTCTCCCTGGCTCGGACCGGCCTGACTCATCTGGGACGGGTGGCCGGGTGGGGAGACCTCAGGGGGCGGAGGGACAGGAGGAGGCGGGCCGGCCCTTCCCCCAGAGCCAGGCAGGAGGCGTCGCCAGGGCGCAGGTGAAACCGATTCCGGCCTCTCCCGGGAACTCTCGCCGCCGGGACTCCCGGCGAGGGGCCCCGCAGCCAGCCGCCCTCTCCCACCCGGGCTGCGCGCGGGGACTCCGCCGGGGGGCTTCTCCCCCCCGAGATCCGCGGCCCTTTGGCGCGCTCGGGGCTGCCAGCCGCGCCGGCGTCTGCGGCTGATGGAGGCGGTGGCGCCGCCCCGAGTGCAGGTGACACTGGCCAGGCCGAGGTTTCGGCGGGCGGGAGAGCGACGGACACTCGGGGACCCGGGGGCGACCAGGCAGCGATGGCCCGGGAGTTGAGCCAGGAGGCACTGCTGGACTTTCTGTGCCAGGCCGGGGGCCGAGTGACCAACGCCGCCTTGCTGAGCCACTTCAAGAGCTTCCTCCGCGACCCGGGCGCGTCCCCCGGCCAGCACCAGCGCCGCCGCGAGCTCTTCAAGGGCTTCGTCAACTCGGTCGCCGCAGTGCGCCAGGACCCCGACGGCACCAAGTACGTGGTTCTCAAGAAGAGGTACAGGGACCTTTTGGGCGAGGAGGGGCTGCAGCGACCCCGAGACCCGCCCGCGGCCGCCGCCCCTGCAGGGGGAGCTGCGCCCTGCTCCCCGCCCGCCGCGCGCCCGGGGGAGGCGCCGCGCCAGCCTCGGCGGCGGCGGGGGAAGGAGCGGGAGGAGGAGCCAGCAGGTGCCGCATCCCCGGCGGCTGATCCAGGTTGCAATGGACTCTCCGCCAGCGGCTCCCGGGAGGCGGCCCGGGTAGGCGGCGGCCGAAGACGCGGCTCCTACCCCAGGGCGCCGGTGTCCGCGGTTGCGGCGGCAGCTGCCCAGGTCGGAGCGAAATGCGCAGCGCCGTATACCCAGGTCCGCTGCTGCTGGGAATGTCTCCAGAACGGCCTGGGGGGACTCCCGGGCGAGCCGCCGGCGGTCGCATCCACCGACCCCGTCCACCGTTCGGGAGGAGTCGGCGCGGGCTTCCCCCTGCCCCATATGACCTCAGGGTTCCCAGCCAGCAGCTGGAGACGCTCCCCCCCGAGCCCGCGCCGGTACCCGCCGCGCCCCTCTCGCCTCCTCCAACCGTCGAGGCTACTGGGAGCGGGGCTTCCCCGCCTGCCCTCCTGTCCCGCTGTCCTCCTCCCGGAGACCGGCCGGAGCTGATGACCCCGGGCGACCTCCATCATTCCAGGCAGCAGCTGCAGCAGCAACACCAGCAGCAGCGCACTCGGGAATGGGTGGCCAGACATCCCCACGCGCCCGAGGCCCGGGACCAGGGCCCCACCAGAGCCTGGTCAGTGCTGCCGGAGAACTTCCCCTTGGAGCTGGGCTTCGGGGTCCCAGAACCTAACTCAGCGCCCGTAGACCCTCCCGTTTCCCCTCATTCTCTCTCTCCTGCTGCTCCGGAGGCCTGGCCCGGGAACCCGCCCTTGGCAGTCTTTCGCAGCATTCGTTCTCAGCTGTCCCTCCAAGAACTGGATGACTTTGTGGACCAGAACAGTCACAGCAGCGAGGAGAGCAGCAGTGGGCCCAAAGAGTCCCCTGGGGGTTCTGAAGAGGGGCTGCACATCGCCCTAGGAACCCCAGATCGGAGAAAGCTCAGGAATTCAGCTGGCGGCCTTTCTCCGAAGGAGGGCGACTGCAGCGGGAGCCCTCAGGGCCTCAGAAACCGAGGGGATGGGCACGCCCCTCAGCAGGTTCCACCTGGGGCGAATGGTCTCGCGGGCCAGCCCCAGGAGCCCTTGCCCTGGCCAGCTCCCAGGTTAAGGAGATCCCTCAGGGTGAGCTCTCTGGCAGGGAGAGCCGCATTGTACTCCTCCGATGAGGAGTGTCTTGAGGAGGACTTGCTGAAAAGGAGCCGGCGCCCACCACGGTCCAGGAGACCCTCCAAGGCAGGAGCAGCGTCCAGCCCCAGGGTGGATGCTGCGTTGACACCGAACCCTGCTGATATGAAGGCTGCTGTTGCTGCCAGGGGTCGGCTACACAGCGTGTGCGCCCCCGGTAGGCAGGCGCCTGCAGCCTTGGTCCCGCACAGACCCGAGCACAAGCCGTCTCTGGTGCCCCTGGATGCCAGGGAGCATGAATGGATGGTGAAGCTTGCCACAGGCTCTTGGATTCGCGTGTTGACTTTGTTTTGGGAGGATCCTCAGCTGGCTTTGCACAGGGACTTCTTGACTGGGTACACGGCTTTGCACTGGATAGCCAAACATGGCGACCTCAGGGCCCTGCAGGACTTTGTGGGGAGTGCCCAGAAGGCAGGGGTTGCTCTTGATGTGAATGCGAAGTCCAGTGGTGGGTATACCCCTCTGCACCTTGCAGCCATTCATGGCCACCAGGGGGTCATGAAATTGCTGGTGGAAAGGCTGGCTTCGCGGGTGAATGTCCGAGACAGCAGTGGGAAGAAGCCTTGGCAGTATCTGACCCGCAATACCTCTGGGGAAATATGGCAGCTCCTGGGAGGCCCTCGGGGCAAGCCTATTTTTCCTGTCTATCCCTTAGTCCGAAGCTCTTCCCCCACCAGGAAGGCCAAGAGCCGGGAAATATCTAGACATATCACCCGAAAGACTTCCCTTGCTGCACTACTCAAGAGTCAGCACCACAAGTGGAAATCGGCCAACCAGTATGAGAAATTCCCCACTCCCAAGGAAAGAGAAGAGTACAGTGACTAAGGTGGACCCCTGTCTCCCACATGCAGCCACTGCACCTCCATCCTTGAGCTAGTCGGTGAGAGAATTCAGGGGGAACAGAAAAACTGCCAAGGAGTTGGTAAAGAGAGAGATCCAGTGAGACGGGCCTACCTAGTGTTTACCTGCCTGGATTTTTTGTCAGCACATCGTGGATCTCAGGGGTTATTCAAGCTTCCAACAGCTCAAGTCCTGGGGCCAGTGAGACCTGTACAAGGGGCAGAGCCACGTGCTTAAAAGCAGCAGGTGTTCTTCCTCTTCCCTGTCACCTCTGAGCACAGTGAGCCGCATTGTTCTCTGTAGCAGCAGTACCAGGCCTTGGCTAGCGGGGACAGCTGTCTCACAAGAAGGAGGCACTTCCAGGAATTGACAAAGCTCAAACAGAATCCTCTCTGGCTGGTAGTTAGTTCTCTGGCTTCTCTTCATTTGGAGAATAATTTGGCTGAGAGTGGAAAGCTCCAGATTTGAAATCAGATGGCCCCTCTTTTCTTTTTTTTAATTCTTTTTAAAAATCTTTTTTCATTCTTTTTCCCTCCCTCCCTCCCTCCCTCCCTCCCTCCATAACTGCTTTCCTCCCTCCTCCTTTTCCCATTCAAACCAGTGAAATAAACTTATTACCAGAGAGTAGAATTTGATTTAAGAGATTCCTCAGCTCTGTCCTGGTTTTCCTTTGGAAGCTAATGCATGAAATGGTTAGTGCCTCCTCTGGGTTTCTTCTCCACGATCAGAGAAGTTGTTGGGGAAGAGCCAGTTATGACTGATATTCAGGCCCTGTTTTTTTGTTTGTTTGTGCGTTTAAATTGACCTAAGGGAAACTTTCCAAATGTAAACACTGTTGGCTCATTTGCCAAGTGACTGAAACCAGCTTTCATGGAAACTCCCTATGTTACAGACAGCAGAATTAGCATTAGTAGTTTTCGGTAGGTTTGAATGGCCAGTGTTCATACTCATGAAAGGAAAAAACTGATTTCTCTTTGGGGAAGCAGTGAGGGTTAAGAGGTAAACACCTCCCTACCAGGAATTTTCAAAGCTGCTAAATATAATTTTATTTGCACTGAACTTGTTGCCAATTAAGATTAAATATTAGCCTGAAGTGCTGTTTCTAACAGGAAGCACTCCTTTTAATCACTTGTGACAGGACTGATCTTTGCGGATCCATGAAATGAGAACATCAAGATTTCGGAATATAAATTCAAAGAGGGCTGAAAAATGAAATGTCTAAGTAGAAATTGTTAATTTTTTATGGAAATGTTTTAATGTGCTGTGGCAATGATGCTGTATTTTAAAAGTATTTTTGTATTTCTTCTGGTTATCTCCCCCCCATTAAAATTGAAATATCAACAAATCTTTATAATTTATTATATTTGTGCTGATTACTGTTAACTTTCTTCTTTACAAAATTGTGTCTCAGTGAATGTCAAGTATTTTTTGTTTGTAGTTTTACTTTATCATTGTGCTGAAATAAATATATCTCTGTTCTATTATAAACCATATAGGTATGATAAAGAAATCTAAGGGTTGTTTTTTCCAAAGAGACCTATACAAGGGATGACACTTGGGCAAATCAAATTAAAAAAAAAAAAATGAGGACAGCCCTGGCCGGGTGGCTCATTGGTTGGAGCGTCATTCCATACACCAAAAGGTTGCAAGTTCATTCCCCTGTCCGGGTGCATTCCGGAGGCAACTGATTGATGTTTCTCACATCGATGTTTCTCTGTCTCTCTTCCTCTCTCTCTAAAATCAATACAAACATATCCTTGCTTGAGGATTTAAAAAGAAAGAAAATATAGGGACAATCCTAGCTATGGTTAGGAAAGATGAAAATTAAAAAAAAAAAAGATAAACATCTAATGCAAATACTTTAGTAAATAGGTGCTTTTCAAGGAAAAAAATTACAAAAATATCAACTTCTTTTAAAAACCAAAGAATGTTTTTACTTTACCATATTTTTTCACTACAATTTGTTCAACGAATATGTTTTGTTCATGCTGTGGGATTTATATAGGCGAGTGGGACATGACCTCTTCCTTCTTGAAATTAAAATCTAACAAGATTTGTTGTTGAGTGATTTATACCCTATCTTGCTCCCAAGGTGTCTTCTAAAGTTGCATTATATGAGATATCAGCTTTTAAAATGAGGCAAAGAGATAAAAATGTGATACCAGGAATGAACACAAAACAATCATGATGCAAGAAAAAACAACTTCAAAGTGTCTAAGTACAGAATTAAGTGCTCCAGAGTATTTCAGAGGTGAGATTCCTTTAGGCTGGGGAAGTCAGAGAGGCTTCACTGCGGCCAGGAATCTTTTAATGCATCATGCTGGCTTTCCATAGAAACCAGCTTTGTTGGTTCTACCACATTCTTAACTTCTGCTTCAGTGTGTGATTTGCATAGCACTGGTGTTGGCTGATTGCTTAATGGTTAGAACACCGTCTTGGGTTTCAACTTGGTTCTCATGAAGATACAGAGCGCTCTGGCCTTTGTCCACATGTCACACTTATAACTGGTCAACTCTCTTACATGGTCAATGTGTGTTGGGAGGGTGCAGGCAGAGGAGGGTGTTGAGCACAGAGTTAAAACACAGATCTGATCAAATCACCCTCTTGTGCATGTTGTGAAGTTCAGGCTAGAAGAGCTGCCAGGCCAAGCACATTTTCCCAGCCTCCTGCCAACTAATGCCTGCCATGAACCCCCCACTGAAGCCACACCAGCCCACTGGGGGCACTGACCACCCTACCCTCTCACTCTCTGTCTTGGTGCTGAATTCCTTCAGCTTAGAACCCCCTTTTGTTGTACTCCTGGTGGACTTACTGTTAGTTTCCCAGGGACAGTTCAAATGTCACAGCCTCTATGAAGAGTCCAGGGTGAAGACCTACAAGCCAGAAGAGGTAAAGCTCCTTTATCAGAATTCTCACAATACTGTGCGCACATCCCACTTACAGTTTTTTGCCATGTAGTATTTTAGCAAATTGTTTGAAAGTTTTGTTTTTCCTTAAGACTTTGAATATCTGGAGATTAAAGAATGTACTTTCAATTCATCTAAATGTACTAGGTATTTAGGGAGCATCTGTTGCGTGATAAAGAAAGGAGAGTGTGAGGGTGGGGTCACTGAAAAATAATTCCAGAACAGTGAGGTAAGCGGGTAGACATGTGCATCGAGGCTGTGAGGATACAAAGAAGCATTTGTGGAGCACTTTCTCTGTCAGGCTCTATGTTTTTGCTGAAAATACAACATTCAGTAAGACATACATGTTTCCTGTTCTCACGGCACTTTCCTGGACAGGGAGGTCGAGAAGGTAAAATAGACGTTAGATAGGCTTTGAAGGGCCAAGTGGAGAAAGGAGGAAAGAATATTCCAGGCAGGAAGGAGCAGAAGCAAAGCCACACCTTGTGGTGAGGGATGCGTGGCCACTGCTGTGGGGCACATGAGGTGATGTGGAAAGAAATGAAGATGGACAAGTAATTGAAGGCCGGGTTGAAAAAAGACTTATTTTATGGTATGTCAATTTTGATATGGCATTTTCAAAGATGCTGGAATTGTCAGAGCTCCTCCAGAAAACCTTAGTGTTATTACAAATATAGATATTTTCTTAAAGTCTCAATTTGAAGACAAAAAACCCCACAAAAACATCAAAGTATTTACCTAGGGATGTGCTCAAGTTTAAAGTTTCCCTTTCAGCCCTGGCCAGTGTGGCTCAGTTGGTTGAATGAGTCCTCTCGTGCACTGGGAAGTCACAGTTTCTATTCCTGGTCAGGGCATATGCTGAGGTTGTGGGCTCAATCCCCAGCACAGATGTTTTTTATTCTCTCTCTCTCTCTCTTTCTCTCTCTCTATAGTCAATAAAAACATACTGTGGGTTTTTTTCAAAGTTTCCCTTCCAAATTTTTCTCTTTGATGTTAATGCAGCGGTTCTCAACCTGTGGGTCGCGACGCTTTGGCGGTCGAACGACCCTTTCACAGGGGTCACCTAAGACCATCCTGCATATCAGATACTTACATTACGATTCATAACAGTAGCAACATTACAGTTATGAAGTAGCAATGAAAATAATTTTATGGTTGGGTCACAACATGAGGAACTGTATTTAAAGGGCCGGAAGGTTGAAAACCACTGTGTTAATGCTTACTTCCTAGTAGGCAACAAAGTAATATAACAAATGGCAATTTAATATTAAAGGCAAACATTAGAAACTGCTGATAATCTTAGCTCAACCACCTGCTTTTTTTCATAGTTGTAAAGTTGTGAATTTTAATCTTGTAAATATATACACTATAGACTGTATTCTTATTTTCTGCTAGTGAAATTGTGTTTGGTTCAACATTTCAGGATCTTACACATGGCATGCCATGACTTCCAGATGCTTTGATTCCTCTATAAATTTTCCTAAATAGCAACTTTATTGAGGTACTAGAGGCCCGGTGCATGAAATTTGTGCACTGGAGGGGAAGCGGGGGAGGTTCCTCAGCCCAGATTGCAAGACAGCGCAGACCAGGCTAAGGGACCCCACCGGTGAATGATCAGGGCCAGAGAGGGATGTGGGAGGTTGGCCAGCCGGGGAGGGACCCCGGGAGGGCTCCAGGGCATGTCCAGCCCGTCTCGCTCAGTCCCTATTGGCAGGACCCCAGCAGCAAGCTAAGCCACCAGTTGGAGCGTCTTCCCCCTGGTGGTCAGTGCATGTCATAGCCAGCAGTTCAGTGGCCTTAGCATATCATTAGCATATTACACTTTGATTGGTTGAATGACCAACTGGACAACCAGACACTTAGCATATTAAGCTTTTATTATATAGGATAATTTATATACCATACAATTAACCTGTTTAACGGGTACAATTTAGTGATTTTTAGAATAGTCACAGAGTTGTGCGATCACCACAACAAATTCCTGTCTAAGTGTGAGAACCACTGACCCACACAGAGGAAGCCATTGACAGTTCACCGCAGGGGAGTGATATAAACAGGCTGAGGTGAAACAACGAGTTCTCTTGCTACTGTAAGAAAGACAAGCTAGAAGCGAAATCAGTCAAGTGCTTATAATGTCTTAGTTTCCTGTAGGACATATTAGGACTGTTGATTCAATCAGCAGAATACGGTGATTGAGATTGGATGGCTACAATGTGGAGAGAAAATTTTAGTTGGAGGGGCTGCTTTGGTTGATAGGAATTAGAAGGGATCAGGTAAGATCCAAAAAGAGCCCCCGTTTCCTCTCACTGCTCAGAGGCCCCGTTTAGTTCATTACTGTGATGACAGTCGGTTCATGGTGGCACTGCCCTAAGAGTGTACATTCAGTCTCAGGCTGGTGAGCACAGCAGTGCTGTTGTGTGTGCTTATGTTTGCCAACTTCAAACACATGATTAACAAGGTGTGATCAAAGGGTAGAATAGCGCAGCACTCAAGCTCCTGACAATGAAGCAAGGCTGCTTGCTTTCCTCTCCTAGGTTGGAGAAGGTCTTCAAACTCTCAATTGTCTTATTTTGAAGGTGGATTTTTTGAGAGGATCAAATGAATTAATACAGTACCTGGCACAGAGTAAATGCTCAATAAATGTGAGCTATTATTATTTTTAAACACCATTCAAAATATACAGCTCACTTTAAATTTCATCTATGCTGAAAAAATAGAAATCCTCTAGTTGACTTAGAAGGTGCTACAAGAATAAGATTTACTAATAAAGCCAAACACTTTCCCTTATACTTCTATATAAAAATATGCTTGTGTTTCTCATTTCAAATGAAAAAAGACTGTTCAGCTATCTCTTGTGGGTAACAGTCATTAGCTATTATGTCATTAAGCAGAACTATGTCTAATTGAAGTTACATACACTAACACCCAACAAATAAGCAACTCTGGTGGGGCCTGGAACTGAAACCCAGGCAGAGCTCCTAAGGGGTGAGGCTGATGGGGAGGCGTGTGTGTGTGTGTGTGTGTGCACACGTGTGTGTGTGTTGAGCCACTATCACTTAAGAAATTGAAATATCTAAATTTAACCATACAGTAAATTTCATCAAAATTCCACTAACTTGGTCAAAATAAAGTCTCATCTTGGATTAAAAATTCTTGACCTATTGAACTATTGCTTCTCCTTGGTATGGAAATAGTACTTCTTGATTTTTAGTTCCCAAGTTTGACTTCTCTTTTCTACGTCTAAGACGTGAGCTTCTTAAAAAGGGCATAGATGTATGTAAATTATACTTCCATTAAACAAGAAAGTGACAAGACAAATAGGCGAAAGATGTTTATCAAATTGCCTGTTGGTGCCAAAACCAGGACTCTGATTTGAGAGGCCCTAATTCTTCCATGCGTTCCATTTCTCTTTTTGAGAAGAGTGAACACTCCCAAACCTAACAGCTACTAACGGTGTTTCTGTGCCATCACTCTTTCTGAAACCGTAATTGTTAATCCTATAGGACTTGAAGCTTTTTGTTAATATAGTCTTGTCCCCGCATACAGTTAGCTTTCCAGTGGACCCTTATCCTTTGGTGTCAATCA